GGTAGGAGGGGCCATTACTCATTCAGCACTGAGGCTTTTCCTACATGGTGTGGAAGATTGAAATGAGCAGATTTCCACACAGAGGCATGATTAAGCAACCTTTAGGCTAGACTCACACTAATTAGTTGAAAAGGGAGACATATCCCACCCACACCCTTATCTTTAAATCATCTAGAGCAAAATTAGAAGATTATGTGTCACAAAAAGACACATTTTATTCATCGATCATCCACCTTCTCTTACATTTCTAATCTGAAAAAAGTCACCACCACAGTTTTTAACAGTTTTTTTGAAATCTGTGTGAAATCCATGGCACACTGTTTCCAAAATGACTACAAATTTCAAGCAGTAAATCCACCACAGTTATCATTGCAAACTTCTATGCATTGTGCTGGGACAGAAACCTTGACAGGCAAAGCAACAGTATAGCAAATGGTCAGTTATGGTAGAAGTCTTAATGCATTTTTTAGATTAACTGTTAATTCATTGTTGGTAAATAACCAGAAATGACCAGAAAATAATTTTTTTTACACACATTTTACACATTTTGTTCATCTTAAAATTGACTATCAGCTGAAGATCTCCTTTTTCTCCATGATAACACACTCTGTATAACGCACACAGTCACCACCAAAACACAACACCACAGACACACCACCCAGCGAACACACCACAGAAGACCACCACACACACAACACACCAGAACCGCACCGAACCAGCACACGACAGACAGCACGGAAAAACACCACCATCATCCCAGCACGTCACCTACTTCCTGTCACGTCTTTTAAAACGGCATCTCAGTAAAGAACACCTGACTTTGTTCTAGTCCCGCTCATTCACAGCTTCTTCAAAGGCATCATTAGATTAAAGAGAGCTTGGATACCACGCTTCCCCCCCCCCCTTTTTTGGTGCTCCAGTGCAGCACTAGGCTGTTCAGCTGTTGGAATTTGAATGAGACAGATATAGATGAGAAGAATGGTTGAAGAGGAGTCAAGATATATTGATTCCACATATTCGTGTTTGTATGTTTTGAGCAACATCCTGCTGTGAAACAAACGTGGGCCTAACTCTTCCACAAACACTAATTACTGAATAAATAAAATCACCCAGATGTTGCCCAGTGTACATTTATTTTTCATAAGGAAAATCAATGGATGACCTGAATTGAATGTTTTTAACTAGTTTCTCTGTGTTTCCAAAGGTTATTAGCTTTGAGTTCTTGTGTAAAGGCACTAGTGAGTTTTTCTTCACATTTTTCTTCCAAAAGTCTTTGAGAGTTGCATCCAAAAAGCAATAGTTTGACATTTTTGAAAATANNTAAGAGTTAAATAAGAAGATTGATACCACCAGTTTTTGGTGATACAGTGAGCTTTAGTCCTTATCAAAGGCTAAGCTAACTCACTGCTGGCTGCAGCTTCATACTTAATGGACTATTATGAGAGAGGTATTGAATGCTCATCTGACTTGGCAAGACAAGACTGAGCAAATTTCCCAAAATATCACATTATCCATTTAAAAGTCATGTACTGAGTACGAGGTTTCAACTTGTGACCTGAATCTGCTTATGATGGGACCATTTGTCTTTACTCAGATAATCAGACAAGTAGTGACTGCATTAATTCCGAATGCATCAATAAGTATTGTATTTACAAGGCCATGCCTCAACATCTAAAATATAGACTTTCAAAACTTCTTTTTTGTTTTCAGAGGGAGATAAGACTGGGTTTTCTGTGTGAACTTTATAGTTATGAAACATTGAAGTAAGGGCAGTGCTCCTCTGAACAAGCGTATTCTATATTCTAAGGGTTATGGTGATATTCTCTTTTTGTGTCTTGATGCCTGAAGCTTGCATGCAACCTAAGCTTCAACTTCGCATTAAGCCATGTATTTTGGTCATGCCATTGTGCTTCATACATGTATGGAAATCTGAGCCAATTTCAGTGTGGGCTACCACACGCTACCACTGTAACATATCAACATTCAGATACATTCAATTATCTTTGCTATGCACATTGGGATTAATCATTTATAATACTAGGTTGACTGCATCGAATTATTCCTCAGTTCCTGTGCCACTTCTGTCACACAGATATAGATGGTTGGATATTATACAGGGAGATGGGTAGCTCTGAGAAAAGTGGGTGCAGTGCTTACCTGATTTAATATTATGCATAAAAGCCCTGGCGATGCTAGTCTGATGTCTCTCATTAATTCTTCAGTTCAGTGGGCTGTGGACAGACACAGCAGATTGACAGGGGATGAGGAGACACCAGCGTCTCCTTAATGCTTTGAAATGGGAGTATAGTTTAGCTTTGATGCCTCCTATCGCTAAATGGACATGCACCCCCCTCCCATGCACACAGCCTGTGCACCCATATCCCACCCCCGCACATACTGTCAGTCAGTCATCCCAGTGTGAATACATGAATACTGTAAACTGTAGCGACAGGGTAAATTACACTGTGTGCTATCAAGCCATAAAACATCAAAATGCTTTATGACTTCCTGTGAGTGTGAATATGGAGATCCGGAAACTTGGTTTGGAATAGCCTGGAGGCAGGTGTGGTACTTTACCAGGTGCAGCAATCATTGCAGCAATCATTTTCTTTATAAATCACTTACAAATGTTTTTAGAGTGTAGCTGACCGCACAGTATTGATCAGGGACAGCACTTACAAAGATTTTCCTACACTATGTATTTTAGATAAACAACCTGGCTGCCTCCATCATATACTCCTTGACACACACATAAGTACGCTGGGTTGAACGTGTTCTCTACAAGAAATAACACATTTTACTCACAAAGAGTGCTTTTTTTTAAATCAGGGAGATGCAAGTGTTGCTCTTGTGCCTCTCAAATCCAAACATGCAAACCACTGACCACAGAATGCATAATGCATGGTGGGTATGATGGAGACACTCAACTAGAATTACTAAAAAAGTTTGAAGCGCTGTGTGTTTGACACTAAGCAGAGGGGAGGATAGCAGAAATGTAATATGGTTGATTTTTTTCACCACAGAAAATAAGCAACCAGAAGGTCACCAGCCACAAACACGGTGCACTCCTTATGGAGGGTCCTTGGCATTACATAGGCTCAATGCATGCAGGACGTCTATCAAATACAAGAACAAGATTCTGCAGGCTCTGTTAGGCTGTACATGGGCACAGTGGTGTTTAGGTCTACGGGCTAACACCAGAATGCTAACATGCTCACAATGACAGTGCTAACAAGCTGATGTTTAGCAGGTACAATGTTGACCATGTTCACCATCTTAGGTTAGCATGTCAACATGCTCACATTTGCTATTTTGCACTGAACACAAAGTTATGGGAATGTCATTAGTTTTGCAAGTGTTTGGTCATACACTAAAGCTTGGACAAATTTGGGTTAATGAAAGATTTGACCTGATGATGGTGCTTAATGAAAAGCCAGGGAATCACCAAAAGTATTACAATTTATCCTGAGGGTGGACATCAATGTCAGTACCAAACAGTACTCAAAACTGCATGTGTCAACCCCATGCTGGTACTAGAAGAAAAGTCAGGGGATCACCAAAGTCATTAGAATACATCCTCTGGGCACCATGAATATATATATATATATATATACACAACAAATTTCATGGCAATCCAGCTAATTGTTGAATTTACAACCAAAGTAACAGAACAAGCGTCACATCCTCACAGCCACAGTGCAAACAAGGTAAACATGTCCATTATGTGTGAATGTAAACTCCAAAAACCAATGACTTAAGAAAACATGTTCAGAAGGTAATTACTGTTGAAAAAGTGAAATATTTCTTAAATTTCTTTATTATTGTTTTATTACAAATATCACCATCAACAAATACTGAACTCAAGGCCTCTTCAATGAACTTTACAGTGAAAAGCAGCAGGTTTGAGTTAAATGGCTGCAATATGATACATTGTCTTGACAGAGCCTTGAAACGTTTTGGCCTTTCAAGGGTTGCCACTTAATGTGAGACATTTATCAGATGGACCATAAAAATTAATTTACAATAAATAAAAATAACAGTAAACAATATAAATATGAATCTATTTCAACATTTTAAACATAATTCACACATTTATAGGTTATAGTAATGGTTCTGGGTTGACTGAAGGGTTTCTTAAGTCAGTGTTTGAATCAACCAGGTATTTAACCACTTGATAGATCAAAGTTATGACTGTAGCTGAGATAAAACTTTCAATCCCTCCCGACTCATGAAGAATATGAGCTTTTAGAGATAGCATAATGATATTTCCAGTGCTTTAAATTGAGAGCTTTATAATTTTTCAGACAACTGACTCAAGTGACAGTATCAACACTATGAAAGGAGTGTTTTGAAATGTGGAGTTGTCCCTCAGGGGTTTCTCATTTTTCTTTGTTTGTCTGGCATACAATGCAGGCTACAATACAATCAAATAGTATCAATTCTGACCTTGATGGTTTGGTGATACAAACATAAATAATAAATTACAATAAAATGTTTACAGTACATTGACATTCAGTGTAGAAAAATTCCTTAGAAAAAAGTTACTGAGTTTACAAAGTGTGAAAATATTGTATTTTCCCCCATTATAAAAAAATGCCACCTTGAACGAGGCAAATGAAGTCGCTTCATATGCAATGAAACAGAAGAGTGGAGAATATGCAGACACAATACGTAGAATACATGAAGTTAATGTGTTGGTTCTTCACTTTTTTGTGAGAGTCTGTTTGAACCAACGCTACCAAAATCATTTGCTATCAGAAGCCAGTGCATTACCAAAAAGCCAGAGTAAAACAGTGAAAAGTCATGTTTCTAATGGCTGAGGTCTTGTAATGATAGAGTTAAGAACTATTCAGACATTCTTAAAGTTACAAAGTTGCCTTCGGTTGCTACAGAAGTCCTCAGCAGTGACATTTTTAATTTCATTTCACAAACTGATTTTTTTGTTTTTTTGTTTTACATAAAGCAGTAGTTCCTGAAATACAGGCTACCTGATATTAAAGTGTTCAGTACTTAAAAGTACGCAGTAATGTATGTGTCAACTACACAGTTGTGACAGACAGGAAGGCATTATGTACTTTGGAGCCTTCTGGGACTCTAGCCCCATGGCTCATCAGCTCCTGGATGGTCATCCAGTTATCCAGGATCTTTTTGTTTCGTTTCTTCATCATCTTTTTGTGACTGAGCTCCAAAATATTGATCTCCTTCCTGCCCTCAGCTCCACTGGCGGGCCCCTCCTTTAGACACTCAAGGCGGCTCTTTTGCATGAACTCCCTCCTCTTCCTTTGCTCCCTAGCCCGTGCCAAGTGCTGCTTCCTCTCCTCTTTGCTCCAGTAGCGACCCATCTTCATCTCACTCATAGCATCATCATCTGTGGTCATGCCTCCGCTCCTCTCTTCTCTGATCCTTAGTGCCCGCTCCCTCAGGATACGGTCACGAGCTGGCCGCCGGGCCACATAGCGTGTGCCGTCAGCACGAACTTTAACCTTCCACTCTAGACGGGGTTCCCCAGGGCGTCCGCTTCGGTGCACAGGATCTCGACAGAGACTGAGTAGACTCAGTTGGCTCTGGGAATATTCCAGGGATGAGTGCTGTTGCAGCAGGTGCACATAGCTCTGCAACACAAAGAAAATTGTTAGCACAGAGCTGTCTTCAGAGGTGCCTCACTCAAAGGTAGATCAGCATTATGTTGACTTATCTCTTCTTGATTAGACCTACCTGAAGCTGCCTGGATCCTCCCTGGCCTTGATAGGGGGTTGTCTGATATGAAGAACCATAGGAAAGCCCCCTTCTGGAATCTCTAGTCCTCCCTTTCTTTTCACACCTCTCATCATCTGCAGGCAGGGCAGGATCTGACTCAGACCGGGAAGGGTTGCTCTGGTCTGGGCTGCTGGAGATAACAGAGCCTGGGTCTGCTGGTCTGCTACAACTGGATGTACCCTGCGGCTTGGGGATGGGAATGGGGCTGGACGGTGTGGAGGAAGCCAGTCTCAGGTTTTTCTGGTTGGTGATGCTGATGTGTCTCTGTAGAGAATGATCAGGAGATCTCTCCATACCTAGCGGTGTCGACCGCGCACTCTCCGCTGTATTGTAGGCACTGGAGCTGTCCTTCTCTCGGATCTTATCACTGTCCGACCTCTCCGGGTATTCGTGGATGTCGGCCAACCTGCCGTGTCGTTTGTGTCCGTCTTTGGGGCTCCAGCCTGGTGAGCAGGATGTGGGTTGTGAGGGGTCCAGGTGGTGGCTCTGGCGAAGCTGATGCGCCTGCATAATGCTCTGGCACTCAAGCTCAATGCTGCGCAGTTCCTCATTTAACATCCTCAACTCCTGCTCCATTCCATTCTCTCCTCCAACACCATCTACGCCATCTCCATCCCCTCCTCCTTGCTCAGTGAGACTACACTCTATACTGTGTCGAATGGAGTATACCCCACATTCGCCTCCATTCCGAATTTGACACTTGAGCTCCAAGAGTTGCTGGAAGCGATTCTCTAAACCTAGGACGCCACCTCCACCATTGCGAATACTGACTACCCCTTCATGACTTTGACCTTTGTCCTGTGGCACTACAGTTGCTTGTCTTGTGTGTGGATGCTCTGCCCGCCATCGGTCCCTCAGGCAACGGGCTGGGTTCCTCCTGTGAAGTCTAGCTAGCAGGGGTTGGTGCTCTGGACTATCTGTACTGCGTCCAAACCCACTGTCTTTGTCTTGATTGGAGGAACAGGTAGCTGTGTCTGTTGTCATGTCTTCTTCAGCTTGATGCTGGTATATGAAGAAAGACAAAAATAGTTAGTCCTCCTCAAGGGTAATTTTAGTCATTTGCAAGAGCTTGTTTGTTGCAGATCATGATTTTGTTACAGAGAGCATTGTGAAGGAGGAAAGATCAGCCTTGGAATTATTTCCATATTGGAAAATTGTCCAATGTTCAGTGCCAATGCAGGAAGTAGTGTAGGCCAGGGTGGTTGATGGGTATGTGGCACGTTTGACTTTCATGCTGAAGACCTGAGTTTCTGTCCCATCATAGACCTTCAGTTAATGCTTGCCCTTTAATTTACTGTAACCATGATCTTTTCATAACCTTAACCAGCTTTGGTTGCTCAACCTTCACCATAGTTTATTATATTACATAGCCATGATCTTTCCCCTTCCCTTCCCGAAGTTGCATGTGAAATAGAAATGTTGGCATTGAATGTAATCCAGGGTTTTGTAGATGTTGCTGTTTGGGGAAAAGCTTAGAATAATGGTATGGTTAAATAAATCAAATCCTGTGCTCTCAGTATACTTCCTCCTATGCCACCTTTTATTTAGTCTCTTCTTCCTTTCTACCCAGTCAACTTTCTCTGACACCCCTCTGCCTCTTTATTGGACATTTTTGTCTCTTGTTTTGATGCATTTCACTTTGCTTACATGCTCACCTCATCCCCCCTGTCAAAGTTACGCTCCTTCTGCTTCCTCCTCTCCTCCAGGATCTCCATCTTCAGCTCCTCCACGAGCTCCTGTTGCTCATCATCCAGCCATACCTCCTCCTCCAGCTGAAATCACAACATCTGTCAGAAACTCTGTCTCTCTCTCTGTGTGTGTATGTATGTGTGTAGAAACTCCATACAATCACGCTGACAGTTCGAAGGAAAGGAAAAGGCACTTAGCAGGCAGTTGTTGTTATTTGACATGACATAGGTTGATAGGATAAGATAAGGCAGGAAGCCTGTGTAGGGGTGTATGTGTTTACCTGCATTTCTGGTCTTGTCACCAGCAGTATGATGCTCCTTGCGTCTTCACTTGACAGCAAGGCAACAGCTTTCTCTCTGTCTTGCACTTCACAGCCATTAATCTGTACATCAAAGACAAGTATAGATGGTCATGTTAAAAATAATGAACTTGTAGAACGTCTCAACCATATATTCAAAAAAAACAAAAAAAATCTGTACTTTTATCACCCAGATCCATTTAACTGACAGGAATGAAAAGATGAGTATAATACAACTAACCATTGTTCTCATTTTTGTAAGATACACCTTGAGTAATCACATCCTGACGCCCTTTTTCTCTCTCGTGCTTTTTCATTTTCTCCCTCCATTCCAATCTCCAAACCAGACTTGTCTTCCTTCCTTTTTGCCATCACTTCCTCTAACTCACGCTGCACGCTCGGTAAGGGGAGTCAATTGCGAGTGCATAGTCCGACCTCATGAGAGCTCACCACACATCCAGACACACAATTAACTGTTCTTTGACAGGTGGCATTCATCTTTTCCTCAGTGGAGTAATGGGGCTGTCAGAAGAAGATAATAGGGCCAGTAGTACAGCAGGCCCTGTTCCCCACAATCATTCACACTACTGGGACACACAGAAACACTACAGTGGGAGAATGGAGGTACTCAAAGAGTGTTACAATGAATATGGAGGAGAGGTAATGTTGGTACACTGCTGAGATATTGCTTACTGAGGACATACTGTACAGTCAGTGTACATCAAACTATATTCTAGCACGTTATTTCAATAATAGCTTGGAAAATATAATTTATATAAACAACAAGCATAAAAAAGACTATTTGTCTATTACTTCTATTTGTGTGAATGTCATTGCTCAGAGTTACACTACACTTTTTTTTTTCATTTGACTTTCTTAGTTTGTGCTGTTAATTTAGTACAATTTTCCATTCATCTTTTAAGAAACAGCAGACCGTTTCAAATCACACCGTGACCAACATGCCATCATCGTCTAAATTGTAATTAAAATCTGACATTTTGGCTGTGTTCAGACTGAGGCCAAAGTGGCCCAAATTTAATTATTTTGCTCATATATGATTCAGATCAGATTTTTTCATGACAGTGTAAACAGCACCAATCATATGGAATCTGATCTTTTCCATTCTCATTCAGGCCACTTTCATATGTGGTCCAAACTTTTGTCTTTTGACGGTCATATCAGAATTCACTTCTACGTCATTCTAGACTGACATATGTCATTTGGGCCAAGTCATGCAGCCTTTGTGTCTTTTGAGTTGACAGTCAAAAGTGTGAAGCCCAAGTAATGTGCCTTGAGTACACTGCAATTAGAGATATCAGGATGCTATGTCATGCCTACAATTTCCTACTTGAGAATAATTTTCCACCATGTTTGGTAACGTTGGGTGGGTGGCTTCAAAGCAATGTGCTGGTCTTTGAAAAATACAGGCTCACTTTGAAAAGTTAGAATGACAAGAAAAACCACAAAGAACTGAGAGTCTCTTTAGATGCAAACAAGTCTGTACACCATCAGCTCAACTTACAGACTACGCTGCTCTAGAGGCTTAAATAGGCTTTCAGGATAACAGCAGCAGCCGATCAGAAGGAGAGCAGTCAGATGCAGAAAATGTGTGTGCAGTGAACTCATCAAATATGCCTACAAGAGTATCAAATAAATGTAGACAATACATCTACATACACATAAAAGTATATATCATATGTACTTTATGTACTTGGCAACATGACATAGAGAGCATGAGAATGGAACTGCAGAAAACCACTAAAGGTGAGAGCTGTATTCACATGGAACTGCAGAAGACATTAACAAGAAACAGACAACTTCTCTTCTCTTAACGAGGGACTGTTCACCTTGGCTACACACACCTTGTGCCACGGATTGCTAAGCCTGGAGTCAACAGTCCAAACTTTACACTTAATTAATTGTATTGTAGTGTGAAAACAATGCCCACTGAAGCCATTTTATACCTGTAGTAAACGGATACAATCCACAGTGACCCCATAGGGTTCTCGCATAATGAGACAGAGTTAGACCAAGACAGAGAGGAGCGCCAGAGATGATGTAGTGCCTGATATAACTGCAAGAGACTTTAATTTCCCTGGTAAAACGAGGTGATTAAATATACATTTGCTTGCCCAGACTGGAGACACCGGAGCTTGGATATCCTCTAAAAAGAATGCCCTACAAGCGGGTTGGAGAATCTATCTTGGCATATTTGTTCAACAGAGGAAAAAGAAATAGTAAATTGGGGATTTCTTTTGTACAAAATGAGGCTGATATCAAAGATAACATCCTGCCATTGATGTGATAAATACTAAGGGTTATATCTAGACTTGTTAGAAGCCATGTGAGTTCATAATATAACCTGGTGTGAATGTACTTTGGCCACTGAGATGAAAATACGCACCTGTAGAATACGATCTCCTTCTTTGATGCGTCCATCTCTCGCTGCTATACTGTTTGGCTCCACCTGCACGAAAGAGCTTGAAAATCAATGCTGACAGCAGGTTATTGTGTATCTCTGAAACACCACTGATGTACCACTCTCTTGTCTGCTGTCAGGAATAAAAGTCTGTTTTTATAAAGCGAAGATGCTTATTTTCTCTCTGACAACCTTGTATTTTCCATATGATACAAGTGGGGTTTCACAGGTTCTTGGTGCTGGCTTATACATGCTTCACATCTTGCATGTATGTACATGTAAGTCCGTGACATTATACAAGAGAGCATGTGAGTTATAAATGAAGCACGCCAGAAAGACCGTGAGAGACAAAAGTGAAAAAAACAATGTAAGTTCCAAATGTTTATGGCACAGAGATGATTCTATTTTAGTTGAATGAATCAACACCTCATGTTTTTCTAACTGCATCCCAGTGTATATGCAACAAGACCACAAGCCCTCAGTAATCATTTTCATAAACTTTGTTGTTTTTGCATTGAAGATCAAGACATAGCTACATGTGGGGGAAAAAAACCATAGTAGAAATAGGGGAGGAAAAAAGCACTTTCAAAAGTCGCACTGATACTATCCATCCATACATTTTAATGAGCTAAATTAGCATTTTTATCCATTTACAAAAATAGATGCGTTCTGTCGGTGGGAGACTGCTTTCACGATCTGCTGAGGTTCAGCAGGTGCCGATGTTCTTTGTGGTTTTATATTCAGATTCTTTGTCTGGTTCGAGAAGAGCAGGTGAGAAACCAGAGAAATAGCTGCTAGGCCTCACGGTTTTATATACACATAATTAAAAAAATGCTAAAAGGAGCTAAATACACAAGAGGTCTTTGTACTTCTGCCATTAATATCCTTATGGCAGCGTTCTAATCCTCATAACAGCTCTTACTCTTCACACCCTCTCCTTTTTTTTCCATAATGGGATTGAAACTGCACCTGCAGTCAGACTAAACACTTCTATAATTCAGTTCGTAGCGCTTAAAGCCCTCATAATTCCAAATAATGCAATAATTTGTTTTCATTTTGTTTGTTTCTAAGCCGCAAATCATTAGAATTTTAAAAAGATTCTTTGTAATATGTTCCCTCTATGTTTTGTGTGTTTGGTATTCAGATGGGGTACGGTAAATGGGAGGATGTGTCATTTCACTTACTGTGGGGGGGAAGGAGCAGGTTGTCGCTCAGAGCTAATTAAAACCTTCAATTAAAACACGTTAAAAGGAGGAGGAATGAGAATGGCAGGACGGGAATAACATTTCAAACCTGACATCCTCTTTGGCCATGCGTGGCTCATTCAGAGTAGATATTTGACTGGCAAACATTTTTCTCTCCTTCCTCCCTAATTCAGTTCGACTTGCTCCCTGCTTCAGGATGTAAAGAGGGAATTCAAATGGGATTTCATGCCATCTTTTAATAACTTCCTGCTCCAGAGGAAACTGATGATGGGGCCCTGCGTTTGATTTAACGAACACGCAGCCTTGTCTCTATCAGACCTCATCAGGGAGCTCTAGTTTATACTCCAGTGCTTCTCCGGGACATTTTATTTTACAGCAAGAAGCAGCAATTACCACCAAATCCTAAGAAGAAAACAGTTAAATGTGGTAACAAGGTGTAACACAATTTTTTCAGTGTCAGTGTAGGAGGACCAAATAACGGCAACATCTGTCCCTACCTGGCTCACATAGATGCCGCTGTCCTCCTCATCGTCAGTCCTGTAGCACAGCGTCAAGCCAAGCTTCTCTTGGCTGTTCTGCCTACACAGCTCCACCTCCTGTTACAACACACACAAACAAACCAATAATGTTTTGAAGCAAACATGTTTTCCCATGGTGCACCTGTTAGGAGCTCACATTTTCCCCGGTGGATATAATGGATTCTAAAAACATATCAGTTCAAACATGGAGTTTATTCATCCATTTTACAGAAACAGCTGAGATGATACCACTCATGGGAGATGAGGTCCAACTTGATTGTTATGCTCTACATTACCGTTACTAATCACTTTGGGAGAAGTGAATTTGTGTTTGGCAAAGAGGATTTATGTTAATTTTCTGTGATAATATCCAAGCAACCTCAAACATCAAACTCTCTTTTACACACACAGACTTACGAGGAATGTTGCACAGTGCATTCCCAAGCCCCTAACCCTAACCTTAACAACTACATGCCTAATCACTAAACATAACCAGTAAGAGCTTTAATCAAGATATATGTGTGAGCTGGAGGAAAAAGTAAATAACTATGTACAGTGAAGTCAAATAAAAGTTTCCTCTTTATGTTGATTAAAAACATAATTAGAGCTTCATTATGTTTCTGGCAAAACTTGCTATTGTAAATTAGCTGAATGGATATTGATGCAATTACATGTTCTTGATTACCTCAATGTCTCTTCAGTTTATTTAACAAAAACTTTCTCTATTTCTTTCATGTCACAGCTTTTAACCTGCATGAACAGATTTTTTTGTTTTGCAACAAGCTATAAACTCTGACATATTAGCATATTATAAGTTCATATGTTAAATTGAGACTGTTTCATAACCGCTTAAAAACTCTTAATAGTAATAGTTAATGCTCCATTTTCACCAGCTAGTTGCTAACAGTCTGTCGGTCTGTCTGTCATTTGGTTTATGGGCAGTGTACAGTGGGTGGATCAGACCTTTTTATGCTGAAAACAGCTGCCTCCTTTGTCTGGAAATGGGGTTGAACAGAGTTTTAATGATGACTAATAAATTAGTTTCTTCTTATACCAATAAAGAGCAGGACAAAGCTGCTA